GAAGGTCCAGGGGAGGGGGAGGGTGATGTCGGAAGATCCGTTCTGCAATTCCCGTCGCATCTGCTCCCGGCTGGGGGGGCTGATGCTCCAGAGCGAGCCCGAGCTGCCCTCGATGCGAGCCGTCACGATGTCCTCGTAGCCGTACAGCGTGATGAACTGCATGGCCACCTGGTGCCGGGGGAGCGGGGGGATGACACACACCACACAGCTCAGCCCACCCAACCCAAGGACGCTCCCCACCCTGGGGCACCCCCCAGTTCTGCCAGTCCTCCGGTGGGATGGAGTAAGGGGTTGTGTGTGTCCAGGGGGGATTTACCGGGTGCCTCTCAAACTCGTTGGTGAGGGCTTCGTAGTCCTGGGGGGTGAAGGGCTGGATGGATTGCTGCTGGGCGCTCATGGTGAACAGCGGCTGCCGGAGGGGGGGAGGAGGTGCTGTCAGCAGGGCAGGGGACCCCCGTGTCCGAGCTGGGCACACCCCCACACCCCCTCTGTATCCTCACCTCGTACCCCCCCAGTTTGAGGGTGACGGTGACGTCGATGGGGTGGTTCACAACGCCCACCACGGAGCGCACCAGTGACATGAAGAGCAGTGGGAACCAGATGATGGCCACGAGGAAGAGGATGATGAGGCCCCCCATGCCATACTTCACGATCTTCTTCTTCTTCTGCCCCTTGGGCTGGGGGTATTTCTGGCGGAGCGGAGACAGCACATAGTGCCCGGTAGGTGCGGGGGGACCCCAAGCAACAACCAGCTTACTGGGGGGCCCTTCCCAGCACAGCGGGGCTGTACCTTCTCCGTCTCGCGGCTGCACTTGATGATGAAGATGTTGGCGTAGATGTCCTCCACGCACATCCAATTGGAGAGGGACAGCGTGGTGTCTGTCCAGACCCAGTCCATGACAGCCCGCAGCTCCACCAGGAAGGGCACGAGGCGAAACCTGGCAGGGACACAGGGAGAGGGGGCTGGTACAGCACCCTCCGGGTGCCCAGGGGTCCGCATGGCCCCGTGCCGTACCCTTGGAAGAGGAAGAGGTTGAGGTGGTTGTATTTCTTGGTGAGGAAGTTGCCCAGGATGCGGGTGGGGTAGCCACATCGGATCTGGTAGGCTGACAGTGAGAAGTAGATGCACTTCACGAAGTACCACAGCTGGGCCACCGTGTTGAGGCTGAACAACCTGCGGGAGGGAGGTGTCACCCTTCTGGCCACCTCCCTGGCCAGGCTGGGCCACCACATGGGCGTAGGGACACAGAGGTGCCACCTTAGGACCATGCTGTGCCCTTGGGGACGTTCTTGCTGGATGCTGAGTACCTTTCAGTGACAGCCGGCAGTATGAAGAACATCCAGAGGTGGATGCTGAAGACCAGGATGACTTGGAAGATGAGCTTGCCCAGCACGGTCTTGCGGAGGTAGAGAGCACGGTCGATGACCATGGTGGTGAACTGGATGAGCAGCATGACCAGGAAGGCCTCTGGCACTTGGTCATCCGACAGCGAGGAGGTGATGTCGGCAGCTGCCGAGTGTTTCTGGGGATGCAGAAGAGGTCAGGATATGGCTCAGCCTGACCCCATGGTGGGAGTTGGCCGGTTGGTGCCCTGCGGGAACCCCCTGCTCACCCCAAAGGCCCAGAAACCAAAGATGATGATGATGAAGTCGACCACGTCGGCCAGGAACATAAAAGCGTAGACATCAGTGGCTGCCCGGTGCTGGGTGTGCAGGATGTCCCAGAAGAATCCACGCACCGGCTGGTACATGTTCTGTGCCCTGGAGAGGACAGGGGACAGAGGAGACAGATGACCCCGGGGCTGCACCCCGCATCCACCACCCCAACCAGCACCATGGGGCACTCACATGGTGAGGAAGAAGAGCTTGACCCGCAGCCCAAACGCCTTCAGCTTCCTCTGAGCATGGCTCTGTCTTGCCTCTTCCTCCTCCTCCTTCTCCTCCTCCTCCTTCTCCTCCTCCTCCCCATCCTCTGAGGGTGAGGCACAGCATGGGTGACAGCCCAGGGTCCTGCAGGGCCACATCCCACCCGGCCCCAGCACCCCTCTGCCCGGGGGGACGCCAGCCTTGCCCTTCGCCGGGGTGTGAGGACTGGGAATCAGCACTCACCCTCCTCCGGAGCCGCCTCCAGCTGCTTCTTCACCAGCCACTTCTTCCTCCTGAAGCGGAGCTGCGTGGCCCTGGACCCCTCTTCTTGCCCCACGGCATCGCCCTCTGGTTCCGGCCCCGCGGCTGCGCCCGGTGCCTCCGGCTCTGCCAGCGCCTCTGTCCCTTCCTCACCCACTGGCAGTGGCGGGGATGCTGCTTCCTCCCGCCTCTCTTCCTCTTCCTCGTCCTCCGCCCGCTCCACCTCTGCCTTCTTCTTGGGGAAGGGGTCCTCCTCGTGGTCCCACAGCCCGTAGGACTGGAGAGGATTGCGGTCAGGGGGATGGGGTTCCTGACGTCCCCCACCCCATGCACCTCACACCCCATCCTGCAGCATTGGCTCCGGTTGCACCCCAAGGACCACCAGTAATAGGTGCCTTGGGTAGAAACCAAGGCAGAGCCACCAAGAACCCATTGGGTGCTCTCTAGAGCCCCCATCACTCCCAGGAGCACCTCCAGCTCCTGGGGATGCCCACCCAGGCGATGCCCATGGTGGTGCCCACGCCCCAGGACTCACCAGCAGCAGGGAGCGATGGAAGAAGAGCGCCAGGAGCTGGATGAGGTCGTACTTGATGTAGCGGTCAGTCTTCTCCAAGCCCAGGATGCGGGGTGGGAAGAAAGGCTTGCCCTCGTTGCGCACCAGCATGGCGTAGCCGTTCCAGGGGAAGAACCCAAACTGGAAGAGGTATTTCACCACCACCATGACCTGTGGGGACATTGGGGTCAGCGGGTGGCAGCCGGGGGCTGGGTGGCACCATCTCCTCCCCAGCCATACCCTGCCCACCTCAGTGAAGATGATGGCCGTCATCCAGAAGCGCTTGGTGGGCCGGGGGATGGATAGCATGGCCCAGAGGAAGACGAGGATGGGCAGGAAGAGTGAGATGACGGAAGCGGTCACCATGTTGTTGAGGATGATGACGAAGTAGCAGAGCAGCTCGGAGTGGGCAGCCACGCAGCGGTACCCAGCCAGCAGCAGCTTCAAGAACCGGTTGTGGGACCGATAAAACAGCTCCGACTCTTCCAGCTCAGGGAAGTACAGCCGCCTGCGGGGTGCAGGGGAGGTGAGCCAGCCCTGTCACCCCCAGCCCCATCCCCACTGTCCCCACGTCCCCGTACCTGCTCATGAGGAGCTCGCTGGCCGTCCGGCTCCGGTTCTGGGGCAGGGCCAGGAGCTCCTGAGACCCGGCCACATCCTCCCGGGACCCCCAGGTTGTCACCTGCTCCTGGCTGCCCCTGGGCAGCAGGTGTCCTGCTGGGGCGGGGGTGGCTCCTCGGTGGCAGCTGGGGACAGCACGGGGACAGGGGTGAGCCCCCTGCGCGCCGATCCCTGCCCGTGGCGCTGCCGGCTGCCCCCTCGGGGGGTATCTATGCACCTGCCTGGAAGCGACGCCGTTTTGGGGGTCCGAACCCCTAGATCCTCGCGGGCTCGGCTCCTCGGGGGGCTCCTCCGGTGGCGGCAGGGAGAGCTCGTCCAGGACCCCCCGGTGCACATCCTCTCCCTGCAGCAGGCAGGGGGTCAGCGCCACTGCGGGGCTGCCACCACCCTCCCCGTACCCCGGTGCGTGTCCCCCGGGCTCACCATGGCCAGGCGGCGCGTGAGGACGTATCTCTCGAGGCGCAGGACGGTGGACATGTCGGTGTGCTCCTGGGTGCAGGCGTCCAGCCACTGGGTCAGCCCATCCACCATGGCCCGGCACAGCACCCACAGGAACCGCAGGGTGTTCAGCGCCCGCTGCACCACGTTGCTCCGCTCTGCCAGGGCGAGCGGAGGGTAGGGGGGGGTGGCACTTTGCGCCTGCTCGGACTCCCACCCCCTCCCTCCACCACCCCCTTGCGCTGTAATCCTGCTGCCCACATACCAGAGCCTTCCTCCTCCTCTTCCTCCTGGCCTTCAGCCTCTTCGGGTGCCTCCAACTCTTCCTCCCTCCCTCTGCTGTCCCCTGTAAAAGTCAGACACCACCCCCGACCCGGGGAAGGGGTAGGACCACCTCAGTGGAGGGTGGACATTGTTTCTGGTTCCCGGTGGCGCTCTCCTGCTCATCGCCCCATCCCTCCATCCAGCTTAAAAACCACTGTGGGCACCAAAGCAGAGCTGCACTGCTTGTGCCCAACCCCATTGTAGCCATCAGAGAGTCCACACACACACATGCTAGGAACCCCACTGAAGCCATGCCCCGTTATGAGATGCCAACAGTGGGCGCAGGGCAGGGCTGCATCCCCTCCCACCCCCTCCAGCCCCATTTTGGGGTGAGCCAGACCCACCTGCAGTGACCTCGGCACCAGGGCGCTCCAACTGCTCCTGCTCCTGCTGCTGCAGTGCCGTCCTGGTGTTGGTCACCCAGGCCTGGTAGGCGAGCTGGGGGGGACAGAGAGGGGCTCATGAGACCCCCCCCCAGCACCCCCGCCATGCTCACCTGGAAGGCGCTCTGCCTGCCCGGCCTCGGCTCCTCCAGCATCGCTGCCTCCTCCTCCTCCTCGCTGTCCGACTCGAAGAGGAAGTATTCCCCCGAATGAAGCACTGTCGGGGCAGCACAGGGTGTCACGGCGTGGCTGGTGTCATGGCACAGCCGGTGCCCGGTGGCACGGCACAGGGTGTCACGGCAGAGCCGCCATCACCCCAGTGCTCTCTGCCTGACACGGCGCTGCCGGCACGATGCCGAGGACATCCGTGGGGATCTCCGTTGGGGACAAAGACTCAACTCCCATGTCCCCACAGCGGGGTCCCTCCAGTGCCGGCGTTCAGAGGCAACCAATGCCAGTAACCCCAAAACCCATCCCGGCACCCCCAATCCAACACCCCGTTAGTGTTGGGAAGCAGAGAAGCCCTGGTTAGTGCCCTGCGGCCGAGCACGGGGTCAGGGGACATGCAGGGTGTCACCTTGCCGAAAGCACCGTCACCACCGCTCCCCACAGGTGTTAGTGGTCCCCGGCGGAGGGACCTTGCCGAGGGGCTGCGCCCTGTTATGGCCCCTGTTGGGGGGCAGTACCTGCGGCGTGGTCTAACCATGGCCG